CCTGGCCAACTCGTACCCTCTCCAGGCTTGTGCTGAAGCCGTGAGCCGTGAACTGGACACCCTAGTTGAAGAAAAGAGGGTTGACCACTTCGGAGTCTCTTCAGACCAAGGTGTGCGTTCCCACGTGCCCAACGAGCTCGGGGTCTCGGACACTGAGCTCTCCAGGTCTTACAGAGTCGTAACAGGGTTTGCAGAGTCTTTTAATCTTGTGTGCATGAAAGGATTGGGTAGATCCCTCTGCGGCAGACCCAGCCCTATGAGTGGTGAGGCCCTACCCTGAAGTCAATGATCCGTCCCGCGAGCTTTTGAAGTTCCGAACCATTCACAACCCGGACAACAAGAAATGCACAGGCGATGTAGGCTCGCTGCCCATGCAAAGGCAGAGGCTCTTATGATAGGTTTCGAGGCCGAAGGACGCCAGCTTTGCATGGCTCCGGGCTTTGGGCTCTGCTTTCCAGAGTAGGTTTGGGGTTCAGGGTTTTGCTTGGGGCTCTTGCTGTAACCGGCCTGCTGGACAACGAGGCCTGCTGCAAAAAAGGGTTTTGCGCCTTAAGCAGGCTTGAACGCTCCTTGCAGTACTGCCTAAACCCTGAATTGAGCAAAGCCTCCCTTCGAACCCTCTTGCTTAGCTAAACAATCCCGTGAGCCTGGGCCGACATCATTTCTAGTCATCAGTATTAAGTTATCAGCAGGTGTAGTAGTACGTTATATTGCCACGATATCAGCTCTTGCTACTTATCATGTGCTACGCCAACAGATCAGAAAGCTCCACAGATCTGCGGCCGAAACTTGGCTGAAACCCCTAACCCTGCCTTGCGTGCAGAGTCCGAGTTGCGACAGTCCAAAGCCAGTAGCAGAGGTATCGAAGGGCAGATTGCTGCAGCCTACTGCGATGGCCCGGCTCTTGACTTTGGGGTGTCTGGAGTTCCGGGTTCTGGGTGTCGGATTTGACCTCTCTGAGGGGACGGTCTGATACACACCGCAGACCAAGTCTGACCGAAGTTATTCAGCAGAGATCTTGAAGGTTCAGGGTTTAGCTACATCCTAAGCCAGGTCAAGTTTCGCAAGAGTTCTGATCTTAGCGGTAGGGGCACCTATCAGTGCGAGGCCCCACTTTGTCAGAGTTCTGATTTCCAAATCAGGGGCGCTCCGCAGTCCAAGGTCCCACCCTGGAGTTCTAGGATTAGAAAAGCCCACATTGAGTCGTAGGTTCAGATTTTCAGTCATGCTTGTTTCTCAAAGGCACCAAGCTGGATATTCTGCTTCTCGGTCGAGCTGCACTCTTTAATGTGTTTGTGGTTCTCTCAACAGGGAAGGGCGACAGCATCCTATGGCTGTTTGGTGGGCGTATACGGATGTTTGTTGCTTCAGCCTTGTTTTCATGCATGGGGCTTTGAGCCACAACCTGATTTACTTCCGGGCTTTTCTTCTGTGTTCGTCGCTGGCTGCATGGCTCGAGTTGGGTCTTGCCCCTCAAAGCCTGTAAGCCGAGGGACGCAGGAGGATTCGATAATCAAAAAGTGCCGGCACTGCAGGCGCAATGGGAACGTGACGTGCATTTGGCCGAGTACAGGAGGCTCAGTAGGTTTTGCGAGTCGCATGCCCAAGATCCATCACGGCGACCACTTGCAACATGGGGGCAAATGTGCCCGGAAAAACAGGGTGCCAAGCACAGTATGCTGCACTGAAAGATGATGCTACATTAAGTTCTGTGCCTGCCATATCACACAGACGCAGCTTGAAGCCAAGGTGGGCAGCCGGACTACCCCTCCATCCCGATTGCAGACAAAGTCTGCTTCCCTACGGACCTTGGGGGCAGATAAAATGGCTCTGGGAGTCCTCCTTTCATAAGCCCTCGGGCAGGCAATTCACAGTGCTTCGTAGCGACAGAAGCAGGTACTCGTATGGATGTAGCGATCATCAGTACATCGCTAGGTCCTAGGCTATTTCAGTCAGCTCTGGGGTTCGGGATCGCCGGATTTATCCATCGAAGCTTTTGCGATGGTCGGGATGGGGTCCGAGGGAATTCATGCTTTGGGAGCGAAGAAGGGGTTTTTTCCGCCGGTATATAGGCTTATCCGTATATGCCCAGCGAGGGAGAAAGCGCGAGAGGGAGAGACGCCCAGATGCGCACTCACACGCACACACAGAGGCCGAGAAATGAGTAAACGTATGCATATAAGTAAATGCAAAGGCTCAAGTGCATAGACGCACACGGAAGTTTTGTTCCATCTGAGTGTCAAGGCTGTTCCGTTCGCAGTGCCTTCCGAGGTTGTAGCCTGATCTCGCGCAGCCTAACTTTGTAGGGACACCGGCTGGAGTACAATATACGTGCCGTCCCACAGCGCTTTTAGCCCGTAAAGCTAGGACTCGGACCGCTTCGTCATCTTGAACCATCTGGCCTTCCGACTTGGTGTGTCCAGTCCTCGATGCAGCCTCACTTGATTGCAGCGCCTCATACTTGGAAGAACCTCAGTCATTGACGTCCTTCACCAGTGGCAGGAATAGTAGCAGTTGAGATTTTGCTCGTGGGCTCTGGGTTTTTGCTTACGTGCAGGACTGAAGGCTTTTCACGGTGCCGGCACCCTTAAACCCTAAAGCTGTAAGCTCTAAAGCCCTGAGAACTCCGCAGACCTTGCCTGGATCCGTCCGAGTGTAACCGTCAACAAAAAGCCCGAAAAACCGAAGCTCCCTAAACCCAGAACCCTATATCCTGGCTGTCTTACTGGAGGATGAGCAAAGGGGCGATGATAAACCCTCAACTTTTAATTTATCTACCGAAATTGCAGAACAAAAACCTACGTCCCTCAACCCTCAACCCTATAAATTATCCACCGGAACTGCAGAGACCAGGAGCCTCGAGTTGCTGGGTTTGTACTCTTTGGGGGAGCCTCCGGGTCGGGTTTGTAGAGGCTTGACTGTAGGTGTCGTAGGGTTTTATTCATGGTTTAGGGTTTTGCTCAGGTTTTTGGTGTTTGGGTTTTTTATGTGTGGTTTCGTGGTCTAGGGGGGGCCGAAGCCAATCAGCCTAGGGCCTAGGCGTCCAAAGTATCTGGTAATCAGATATTTGTGTCTAGGGTGGTGGTGGTGGTAGTAGTAGTAGTAGTAGTAGCAGTAGCAGTAGCAGTAGCAGCAGCAGCAGCAGCAGCAGCAGCAGGAGCAGGAGCAGGAGCAGGAGCAGGAGCAGGAGCAGGAGCAGGAGCAGTAGCAGTAGCAGTAGCAGTAGCAGCAGTAGCAGTAGCAGCAGCAGCAGTAGCAGTAGCAGTAGCAGAGCAGTAGCAGTAGCAGCAGTAGCAGTAGCAGCAGTAGCAGTAGCAGTAGCAGTAGCAGTAGCAGTAGCAGTAGCAGTAGCAGTAGCAGTAGTAGTAGTAGTAGTAGTAGTAGCAGCAGCAGTAGTAGTAGTAGAACTGGTAGCAGTGGTAGTGGTATAGTGATTAGTAGTAGTGGCAGCAGCAGCAGCAGCAGCAGCAGCAGCAGCAGCCGATATCGAGGCTAGTATATTTTATAGGGCGCAGTAGAATTAGTAGGTTGGAACCTCCGGTTGACCTTGCAAGCGCAAGGGACAGCTTCTTGGCATCCATGGTGGAGGTTCAGAAATCGCAGGGCGCTCAGCCTCCTGCGCTCCAACAGTTCCTGCAGGTTTAGTGTGTAAGGTGTTGCTTCTTCGTTTTCTTCCTGAGCTGTTTTTCTTCGAGACTAATTGTAGCGACGAGGCTCAGGCCGAACTTGCATCCACATTTCCCACAAGCGAACGCAATTCGACAGGCAAAGCATTCCGCATTTCGCTTCTGCGCTTGAAGTAGCTTGTTAATCGAAGCATCCGTTGGCACCCCTAGCCGGGAATTTCACAACTGTTAATCTCTGGGCCCAGTTTTGAAAGCACCGTCAATCCTAAACCCACAAAAAGAACCTGCACCCTAGGTTCTCTTTCAGGGCTGCTTGAACTTATTTAGGCTTCACTACAAAAGGGGCTTTTCACTCAAACTCCATTAATCCACCCTTAAACCCTTAAGCCCCAAACTCTAAACCCTCTGATTTCTCTGAGGTGGCCCGCGCTCTTCCTATCCGGCCTTTTGGTGTTGGCCTTAAGTCGCGGGCCCAGAAGTCGAAGGGATCAGGGCTTCTGAGGGTCCGAATGAAGGACTTCTATAGTAATTGCCAATACTATTTTGGGTGTTCCTTATTATCGCCGAAATAGAGTATGCCCCCGAAAGCTTATTCTAATTGTGAAGGCCCCGACAGCAGCTTTTGGAGAGTTCCTTTCTGGTGTTGGGGGGCTTGTGGTTTAGGGCCTTTTGCGGGTATTTCGGTCCTTTAGGTTGAGGATTCCGAGTTTGAAGGACTTTCGGTTGAGGCTTTGCTGGCCGGTGAGGACTCAGAGGGATGTACGCCCACGGGGGCCTTTCACGAAATCCTTTCGGGTGCGGAACCTGCTCCGGGCTAGGAGTTTATGGGTTTGGCACTTGAAAGGTCAGGGCCGTGGACCCTGGGACCCATCTCAATCCCTCAAAAGGGGATCAGAATAGGGGAAGGAAATCATTAACAACAGGATTCCTTAGGGCGCCTTCTTCTACTATTCAATGTATGACCTAGCCCAAAGTTCTCTTCTAATCACTAAGAAGGCCCTTGCATTAGGCTTCATGACATGAGGGATCCTGGGAGCCCAGTAACTGGGCTTCTGTCCCTCATGGCAAAGTAGCTTATCCACATGCACAAGTGACCTTCTCAACACCACGTGGCGTTTTATCGAGTGCTCTTAGTGTTTGGAGGGATGTTCGGTTTCAGTCGGGCTTTCTTCAGAGCCTACCGTTTCGGATGAAAGGTTCGGGGTACGGAAAATTATCCGACATTGCCAACAGGCAATGGTTCTTTGTGAGGCAAAGTTGCAGCTGTTGATCTCCACGTTCGTACCACAGCAAGCTTTCAAAATCAGTGCTGCAGCCCTTTGAAAGCAGGTGAGAGTTGTTCCTGTGTCGTTTTGGCAGAAATCCTTTCTTGCCATGCAGTGGTTCAGTCTTCTGGCTGTGCTCGCCTCCGCTAGCGCTGTCAATCAGTGCGATACTGCGTCGAAAGGTGGCGAGTGCCGGAGGCCAAACGGACATTATGGACCGGCCTTCCTGCAGTTCAAGAGTCTAGTGAAGCAGACGACCGGCTGCCAAGGGGACGACGGGACGCTTTGCACCCCTGAGGTGTCGAAATGCGCGCCTTTCTCTGAATGGCCTGATGTGGACCGTGGTGTCACTTGTGGGGGCTGCAAAGCGCTAGTGCTTGCGGCACCTTATCAAGGCCGCTGCGACCGGTATTGTGCCAGCTTCGGGCATCGATGCACCGCCGCAGCAGAAGAGAAGTCGGAGTCTTGCGAGGCCGAGGAGGACCCATGCGACTTCGGAAGTTTCTATAAGTCGGTGCTGCAGTAAGGTAGCTAAAGCTGCTAGTTCGAATTGCTGCTATATAGTGGTTAGTTAGATGTAATTCGTAAGGTAGCTACAGATCTCATTGTTGACTATTCTTGCCTATAGTAAGCAGCACGGTAAAAGATGGCAATGCCTACAGGAGAAGCGTTGCGACGAGGAAATCTCGGACACTTCGGACATCCTTTGCACTTGCGAGCGCGATGATGGGACTCCCAGCCCCCCGACTCCCGGACCTGCCCCCGGCCCTGTGACAACCACCGCAGCTCCAACCACCGCAGCTCCACCCGCTCCTCCGAGCCCCCCAGCCCCTACTCCGACTCCTGCTCCTGCGGAGTGCTGGGCGGAGCTTCCAGATTTGGCTACAGAGGAAGGCCGGAGCGTTGGGGAGGTACCCAGGGGCGCGTCAGTGTCGGCGTGCCGGCGCCGTTGCGATGAGAATGCCGAGTGCAAAAGCATCTCCTTTTGCCCCGAGTCTCGACTGTGCTTCGAAATATTTGCTTCTTACTTCATGTAGTTTAGTGTATATTTTGCGGAAGAGTGAAAGGTCTTAAAGGTAAGATTTCTCAAAGGGCCCCCAAGAACAGCCCAGGAGTGGGGCTGCTGGTTGAAGGATCGGAGCTTCACGGGCACAGAGCCAACGCGGGAGAAAGGGTCGTGCAAGACGCACTTCAAGACATCCTGCGATGCGACGACTACCACTTCTGCGAGCTCCAATCAAAACGGCTATTTCAAGTTGCGGGTCGTCTCTTACAACATCTATTGGTGGAATGCCTTCGGTCAGAACCCATGGAAGGGAGTTACTTAGCAGAGCAAGCAACCTGTATCCGTAATCATTTTGGGAAATCCAAACCCCTGTGTGACCGCAAAGGTTAGCCATACGATACTGAAAACCCAGTGACACGCGAGGAAAGGATTCTGAACAACATCAAGGACAACCTTGTTCCCGATGCTATTGGCTTGCAGGAGCGGCGAAACTTAACCCCTGGCCGCAGTTTGTTGTCCATGCAGTGCTTCAAACTAAGTTACGTCAAGCCCGGTGCACCGAGGAGGATGCCTGACTGAGAAAGAGAGAGAGAGAGAGAGAGAGAGAGAGAGAGAGAGAGAGAGCGAGCTTACGAGTCAGTTGTGGATGCTGTAGTGTATAAACGACCGTGTGTACTTGCTAAGCTGCTTTCAGCGGTACTTGCGTTCTTCTTGCCAGCAAGCGTCGAGTTGTGGATGTTGTAGTGACAGTTCTAGACGGCCTGCGTGTACTTGCTAAGCTGCTTTCAGCGGTGCTTGCGCTCTTCTTGCCAGCAAGCGTCTTTACCACATGGGTCGGCGGGATTTCGGGCTCGTGCCCTATGCGCTCGGAATTCATGAAGGTGCAGTGTTTGGAGAATGTGGGTGCATTTTTTTTTTGCTGGCATGGTGGCTTGAGATCGCACTCTCTGCGCTAAGCGGAGTCCTCAGAGTACGAGACGTTTCCATGATGAGTGTGCGCTGCTCTATGGACTCTATGGGAATGCAAAAGAATCTACGGCGAAAAACGGGTATTTCATGATTTCTTCCGTGACAAGAATGTGCAGAATGGCCGAACCGGCATTTGACTCAAGCCCTGGGCAAGGCGCAGTCACAGCGTGCGGGGACATGGCGAGTGTCAATGAGAGTGGGGGGGAGACAGGAGAAAGGGCCCCAAAGAGCACAGAGACCATGACTTCGTGTTACACATGAACCCTGGCTGTGTCATTCTCCACTGTCAGTCTGTTGCTGGGGTGCCGCATGAAGTTTTCAAGCCGATTCACTTGCGTTTTAGTGTAGACCGGGGTCCCGTTCAGCACTTGTAAGCCTTCTCAGTCAGTAAACATGATAAAGACCTACACCACACGTTCAAAGCTCCTGAACTGCAGAGCAACCCCATCAAGTCCTGTCACTGATGCCAAAACCCCATACAGTACCACACGCCCACTCTCGCAGAGAGTCTTCAGCTCAAAACAGCCCTCAACCCCGAAAGCCCTGAACCTGAATCGCTCAACCCCCTAACAAGCCCTCTCGTGTTCCTGAACCCGTATACCTTGGAACACGGATCGCACCTCTCATAGACCCCTTACATAATAGCCCTTTAAACTCTATAACAAATCCTTACAAAACCCCTCCAACTAAACCCTTGAAAACCTAGCGGAAGGAGTGCGACTCTCGCTCTCGGGTCGAAGACGCGACCGGGCTCCAGCGCGCCTCCAAGTTTGCCGGGGCGCAGGGTGCCTTGGGGCAACTTGGGGGGGTTAGGGTATTTGAGAGGTTGCCCCCCCAAATACCCTCGATGATTCCCTAAGCACCACTTTGGTGGACCAGTAGGGCTGCCAAGGAGGTCCCTTGGGATCCTGGTAGGGGTTCAGGGTTTAGGGTTCGGGGAGGTGAGTCAAAATCTGCATTACAACTAGCTCCTGCGTACTACGCGGGAAGTGTACCTAGCTGTGTGCCCGACATGTCTGGTACCCCAAACCCATACGAACAGCAAATAGATTTCAAAATCCCCCACGAAAAGTGTATGAACCTTAAACCTGAAGGCTGTGATCCCTCCAGGTGTGATGGTGGACCCTTCTCGACTTCGCGTAGTGCCAGGCACTTCTGGTTCCGAGGACCTGCAGGCAACAGGTAAGTGGGGGCCCAGGCATGTCACCTTCGTCCAGCTCGCCGAGCCTGGGTGGGCAGTTTAAGAAGGGGAATTATACAACCTGTTATGATTTGATCGGCCATAGCATTCTATAGTCTATAATAGTGCACCATCGTATATAATTAGATTATATAACATACTGAAGTACACTTGCATCGACTATGCAACCACCCGAGTGGGGAAGTTCTCGGAACAGTGCAAAAGATTGGCACCAGATAGGTTATTGTTGGTGAGGGTGCGGTGTTCGTCCCGACTGCGGATGCATATGCTGCAAACCTCATAGCTATGCATGCCACAAATGACCAAGGACTCAACCACGGGAAGGACCTTCTGGATGTTCAACACCCATTGGTGCGTTGCCAATGGCAATGGCCGAACTTGCAACGAGGGCGTGCGCTACACTGGGGCTAAGAACATGCTAAGGGTGATTCAGTCGAAGGCCGGCAACGCCCCGGTAGTTGTGACTGGAGATTTCAATGCCGACATGGACGAGGACGGCCCTCAGCACTTCTTTAAGAATGGCTTCAAGCTGGCAGTCACTGAGTGGGTAGATGCCATTTTCTATACAGAGCAACACTGGAGGCTAGTTGCACAGGGTAAGGGTGACGCGGCACAAAGTGACCATCGCCCAATCTTTGCAGAGCTCGAGCTCTTGTAAGCAAAGCATGGACTTCGGTGAAGAGCACCTTTTTGAAGCCTGCTATGCGACGGTTGCGTTCCGCACCAGACACCCAGAAGTGTTCTGAAGGCCGCGCAGGAGCGCGGCTAATTCGGTACAGATTGTAGCATGTTGCAGCCGGCGTAACCCTGCACTTTTGCTTGGTGGCACAACGCTCACTCAACTCCGTGTGAACGTAACGTCACCGTTGTCTCCTCCGAAGCTGAATCCCTTCTCTCTTGGCCGCATTCATGTCCGACTGCAGTTGGGCTAGCTCGGAGACTACAGTTGTTGAGGCTTCTGACTGTCAAAGATGTCACAGTCGGAGGCATCCCAGATGGCGAGCCGTTCGGAGTGCCTTTTCCCTGAAGAGCATCCCGAAGTTTGGGGTCTGCGGTGCCGGTGGGCTGAAGCACTTCGATGAGATGAGGGCCGGTTTAGAGAGCATTAGGGATCAATGGGGGCTTGAAGTGGGTTCTGAACTTGTTTGCGGTTGGCCATTTGGGAAATCAGAATTGTCACAGGCCTGGCACATGGCCGAAAGTCAAAAAGGCTATGCTGGAGGATCTCGCCCCTAAAGTCCTACAAGTCCAGCGACCTGTTTGGTAGGTCACTGTCCCTACTACACTAACCTTTAACAGAACCCAGTGGATTGCGGTGTCTCCGGCCCATTACGGACGTTGGCTCAGCCGTGCCGGGTCTGGGAGCAAGTCAGAGGGTCACTTGTACTTGACCCCTAAAGTCTCTTTATGTACGTGTGTATTTGTCTTTATACATCACACTGCGAACCCCTCACACACAGCCGACAGCCCCAACGCCCATGAAACTTCCTTTTGAACCCCGAAATCTCAAGTACTATATGCTGCCTTATGTGTTCCCAATAGTTGTGCTCACATCTGCGTGATTTTTGTTGCGAGCTGCACGAGTTCAACCTAAAATCTCAAACCAGGGAGTCCCATCTTATGGGACCATATGGGACCAGAAGCTCTGCAGAAGCTATTGAAACCCAGCCGCGAGCCTTCTACACCTTCAGCACTCCTTCAACCCAGCCCCAAACCAGAAATCCTACCCTAAAACTTTCTTCGGTTCTCAAGCCCAAACCCACATAGCTGAACAGTCTCTTGGTTTGGCCGCGTCTGGCTGCTCCTGCTCCCGGGACCATGGATCCCCAAATTCCGTCATCTTGACACCCAAAAGGAGAGAAGAACCCCAACGCTCTAAACCGTACCTGTAAAAGCCTCCTCAACCATAAACATAAAGCCACAGGACCCTATAAGCCCTAAACCCAAACCCTCTGCCCTACACTCTGCTTTGCGAATGTGCGAGTCAAACCCTATACTGCAAGGCCTGAACCTTGTGAACTCCTAAGCGGCTCCTACTCCGGGGCCGACTCGACAGGTGCTGGGTACCTGAGACTCTTCAGTCAGGATCCCGGAGATTCGCTGTTTCGGTTCAGGGTTTGAGAGAGCTGTAGGGCTTACCTTAACCCTGAATAGCCTACCTTTTCAGGGTTCCCTAGTATGATTTCCTTGTGTAAGTCCTCAAAAACGTAGGCTCTTCAGGGTTAAGGTAGGATTTAAGAGAGTTTACCGGCTTCTTAAGAGAGGTGGAAGGCTTAGGTTTAGGTTTTCGGGAGCTAGAGGGCCTAGAGCTATGCAAGCTTTTAGCGATTTTGGCGTTGCGGTTTTAAGGCTTTAGAGGTTTAGAGCTTGACAAATGTAAAAGCGTTGGTTTAGGTCTAGGTGAATGGTTTTGGGGTTTTGGGATATAAGAAAGTGGTTGGGCTTATGGTTGTAATTGTACGGTTTCTGAACTGATTTTGGGGGGTTCAGGTTTCAGGGTTTAAGGTCCAAGGACAAAGGATTGAGCTCCGGGTTGAATGGATAAAGGGCCTCGGGTCTCAGGCAAGTCGGGATGCAAGGAGGAGACACACAATGGCACACAAACCAGCATTGTGGCTGCTTGGTGGGTCTTAACCTGTAGTCCCCCCGGGAAACTGCACAAGTGAGGAGGCAGGTTCTTCGCCTCTTTCTGCACCGGCAAAATAGGCTCGGCATGCAACCTTCAAGTGGACAGGTCTCGAAGGCTTTTGCAGGGCACCGCTGCATGTGCACCATCTTCACACGCACACGTGCTAATATGTGTCTCTCTCCCTCCCTCCCTCTCTCCCTCTCTGACTCTCTCTGTCTCTCCCACGAGCCACGAAACCTCTTCAAATCTAGAAATCAAACACTGGAAAGTCCGAAACCCCCGCGAACCCCAAAATCCTAACTCTGCAACCCAAACTCTACATCGCTTCCTGAAACTGTTGCACATGAACGAAAACTGACACTTGAAGCCCTTGAGGCAGCAATCCAGCGAAGATCTTTTGGGTATCTGCCTCCGCTCTGACTGTAGTAGCGACCTCAGCGGAGAGTTGCAGGCTTGTGGCTTTGGGTTATTATATTATATTATATTATATCATATTATATTATCTCATATTATAATATATCATATTATATTATACTATATTATATTCTATTATACTATATTATATTATATTATATTGTGAGGCTTTAGGTTTCGGCAAGCTTCTGGGATCGAAACTTCGGGCATTTTGGGCGACAGGGTTTACGATTTAGATTGCTTCAAGTATTTGTTGGGGTTTAAGTATTCATTGTAGGATTTCGGCTTTAGGGTTTCGCGGAGCTAGGGCTTCTAGTGCGGTTTGGTTTATAGGGTCCTGTGTCTACAAAGGAATAGCTTTCAGCTTTTGCCTTGCCCCGAAATGCTGCGACTAGAACCCCTGGCCTGAGTACTGAAATGCCTTGCACATCTGGCCAGTGAAGTATGTGCTGCCAAGTCCAGACGGTCGAACCCGAAGACGACAATAGAGCGGCATTGTTCCATGGAGTGCAATGCAAGCCATATCTTCTCAAGACTAGCCCGGCTCTGGCGCAATCCGTAGTGAGCGGTGTAACTAATTAGGCCGAGTGAGCTTGAAGACACTAGTACCGTATTTGCTGTCATGCTGAATACGACCCTGCCTCTGTGAACGTACTTACCAGGTCCCCTCAGCCTCTAACAAAATGTCCGTGATTGGGAACAGACTGCAAATTCGGCATTTCAGGGTTGTGAAGTTGAGGGCAAACAGTTTTGCATGTAGATGTTTCAGTTCGGAGAGTCGGTAAAGATCGGAATAAAAGCGTAGGGGCCCCTATGAACTGAGAGATCCCTGACACGTCGGGCACAGTAGCATGTCTAAAACCCTTAATTAAAGCATGACCTCGAGCCTTAAGCCTCCTACAATCCTGCGCCCTGAAGTTATAAAGTCTTCAGACTCTTAAAAGCCCTGATACTCTTCCACATGCCCTGAAAGGCAAAGAGCAAGGAACTAGCGGCCTCTGCGACGCCAAGCCCCCGACTCTAGACCCTGAAGCCTAAACCCTGAACCCCGATTCTATCCCGGCGGATGGAAAAAGGCGTTTGAAAAAAAAAAACCTGAACCCCGAACCCCATATGCCTAGACCTCCAGCGGAGAGACAGGAGGCTTACGAAAAAGAAAGAGGCTCCTAGACCCCGGCGCCCGATCCCACGAGGTGCTAGGGCTCATTGGCCTGGCGTCGGTGCCTGAAGCTTAGACCCGACCGCCGCCAATTCCGATGGTGGGACGTCTTGCACTTGGGTTTTGGGGTCCCCATTTCGAGGTTGTATTGGGTTTCATAACTTGTTTTTCTTTGCGTGTGTGTGTGTGTGTGTCGTCCTGTAAGCCTTTAGGATTTGGCATTTTAGGCTGTAGGGAACAAGGGTGTAGGATACAGTGCCTTGCAGGGGTCCCATTTCTGGGTCTTGATGGTATGGGCTTCACTCTTTTGTTCGATAGTTGGGTCCTTTAGTCTTCTGAATCTCTCTCTCTCTCTCTCTCTCTCTCTCTCTCTGTGGATGATTTGTGGTCCTTTGCCGATCGGGGGGGGGCCCGAACTCTTCGGAGGTTTTGCTCAAAATTGTAAGAAGTTGTTGTGTTTCATACTGGGAGGGTTGCCCAATGATTGCCCAATGGCTAATGCAGTGCTACTTGTAGGGCTCCAGAAGAACTCTTCATTTTTTGTTTCGCCGAGTTGGTCATGCACGACCATACTGTACAGGGATCTTGATTCTTTGGGTTGTGGGCCAAGCATCGCCGGAAGCCCACGAATCGTATCCCACCTGACCGCTCTACACGATAGTAGAACACCATATTATCTTCTTTGCCATGCTACTTGGTGCCTCTTGAGCAGTAGACCGACAGGTGTCCTGATTGCTTACTCCCCTCTATTGCCGTGCTACACCCTTAAGGTTTCTGTTGGCATCCTATAAAACCACACCGAGCCGAGGATCAATGCCGTGCAGATGGAACTGGAGTTGGGAGGCAAATCTGCAAGCCTGTTTTCAGAGGCTTGATGTTGAATGTTTGTGGTGTTCCGAATTCCTAAACTTACTCAGAATCCCTTTCTTTTCAGAGTTTGTTGGCCAACATCAGTTTGCTCAGGGTGGGATCGACAATAATCCAGCTTTTCCATGACCTCTGGCCCTGTCCCCTGTACGTAACAATTTTAAGTCCATAGGCATTTACATGTTGAATGGAGCTAGTTCTGCTGCCGGCTGGTTCGGGCGATAGCGGCCACGCTGGTATGCCTGGGCATGTACGAGAGCGAGTACCGAGAGCCCTTCCCTCAACGAAATCCGAGCCCTGTAGGCCAAACTCCCAGATCGTACCATACGCCTATAAACCCTGGACCTCCAAACCTGATAGCTCCGTGATCTCCGAAACCCAACAGGCCCTAAGCCCTTCAACCGGACCCTCAACGATGGACCCCGCAGGAACCCTCATCTCGCAACCTCCTCAAGCCTATGCCCTGCAATTCCCGACGCACGAAGACCTTTGGGACCTCTTGGACAACATGGAGTTCCTGCTGGGTGCCGCCGCCCTCATCACAGCCGGGGCCATGGTGGGAAGGACTTCGGAATGACTGGAGGTTTTTCAGGCTTCGGGCGGCTTCAGATGAAGTTCTTCGTCAGGTTAAACGCGGCTTGGCTTGCTCAAGGATTCTTCGCTGTTTAGGTCGTTCAGGTCTCAAGCGCCGTTTTGTGGGATGATTGGGGCTTTGATTGGGGAGGGGTGGTATGGGGTTCTCAAAACGACCGTCCAGAAGGGCAAGCTCTGCCGTAAGGATCCTTCCGAGTCTTCACGAGCTTAGTGCCCGATTGGCAGGGAAGCTTGCTGTCTTATGATGTGCTGAACCAGTAGCCCGAAACCCCCATATCTCTCAACCCCAAAGGATTGGTTCAGAGTCTTGAGTTTGAAGGCTGGGGTGAGCGTGATGCGACCATTGAAACGGTTCCTTCGATGTGTGCTGTACACGAAGTTCGGGTGGCAGGAGCAATGAAGGTTTGACGGCCCGAGCTGCACAAGCGCAACGAGCGCCGTTTTCGTCGTCGAAACTGTCATGTCGAATCGCTAGGCCCTTGACCCCCAAACCCAAAGCACCAGAATGAAACCCAAGGGGGGACCCGGAGCATTTCCGGCTGCGAAAGGCCCAACACCCAAAGAGCCAGTCTAAAGAAATGTCAACCGGAGCCGTTCCTTGTCCCTCCTGCAACCTTAAGGCCTAGGCCACAAGCCCTAAACACCCTCTAAGCATGTCCACCCTGTCGATAAGAACCCCAACCCCCAACCGATGCACACTACAAGCGTTCCGTTCTTTAGTTGCCCAGGTCATCAGTTTCCAAATTACGGTATCCTGCCACGCCCTGAGCCAATGTGCAAGGTTTGGGCTTAACATGGGAAGTTGACAAGTAGCAGGGATCCCTATGCATACGATTATTTGACTATCTACTGCATACAGCTTCGGACAGTACTTTGAACGAACTAGTTATCAGAATCACAGCTGACATTGTTGGTAGCAGTCCCTCTGGTTCTACATCTATAGTGTATAGGCCTTATCATGATGACCCCGCAACAACGGAAATCAAAGCTACAGGCTGCAGGAATAGTGGCTTTAGCGATAGATCCTACCGTGTTTCTGAAGATCTGCACTTCGATCCTCCCGTCAAATAAAAGCCGCAGGAATTCCTAAACTCTGGTCCTCCTGAACGCTTTGGCCCCAACCAGGACACCGTAGCCTCCCTGAAACCCAAACCCAAATCTCCTTTAAACATGCTACAGCCCAGCCCCAGAAACCCGAACCTCATAAAATTCCTAAGCACAGACAAAGCTTCCGCGCTTCCAAGCAACCAGCCGCCAGTTCAGCGGCAGAATCTTCACATGGCCTTCCAAGCCATGAAGGTCCAATCAGGGTGTGGGCATCAATCCGAGGAGCCCGGAACAAACGAATACACAATAACATATAAGAATAACAGCCAGAACTATGTGTATAGATGTATATATGTATATAAGAACTGGTTGTCTGAGGGTAACTACAGGGCAGGCTAGGGCTTGGGTTTGCGAGTGTGGCTTTGATCAGGGACTGGCGATCTGGCGTTCCCCTGAAATTAATATGTCCAGAGCGTTTACCGTTCAGCTTCTCAGATGTCGGGATCTCAATGTCGGGAATTTCGAGCATTAGGGCTTGGGCCTAAGGTTCGACGCCTGCGAATCAAATCTTCAAGGATTCAGAGTCCATGGTCTGGGGGGTCGTGGCTGCATATCTACAAGTTCGTGAGGTGGGGGGGAAACAAAGTTCGTGGTGTTTGTGATTGAAAGCTCGGGTTGGGATGGGGCTGTGAGGTGTGAGCTAAGGTCTACCTGTCTCTTAGCATACATAACTATATAGGAACTATACATACACGCATGCATACATACATACACACGTATATTTATATACACACATGTATGTATACGCACATACTTACACGCATGTGTATATATATATACATGTATGCACATGCATCTACATCTATGTGTGGGTATATCTATATATAAACAAATAAACTCATAAATCCTTTGTAATCCCTGCAGACCTAGATCAGTATAACACTTCTAAACGCAGCATCCCTGAACCTTGTTTTAATGATTGCAGCAGGATCCTAAAGTCAAATGCGTAAGCCAGGCGGTGGGCGAAGCCTCGAACGACGCGCCGTCGATTCTCACGGAGCCCATGATTTCTGCTGGCCGCAAGGCGAGGACCCGGGGTTCGTGATTTCGTGTTTTGCTGGGCATAGCAGCATAGCATTCAGGGTTTGGGCTTTGGGCATACCGTTCAACGTTTAGGGGCTAGGCCATGGAGTTCAGGGTTAAAGAGTTTAGAGTTGGCAGTGCAAGCTTCAGGGCGCACGATTCTGGGCTTCGTCCTTCCTAAAGAAGGCACAAAGTATTAGTTCAAGCCTGAGGCCTTAACCAGCCAGTCGAGGGTTTAGGATTTTGTAGATGCAAGTCTGTGCCAAAACGGGTTTGTAGATCATGGTCCCGTAAACCCTCAACCCTACGATCCAAACCCTCTCGAAAAGGAGTGCGTATGTTCTCCAGCCGTCAGACAGTAGTTGAGCACTCTCTCGGCGCCAACTGTTCACAGCTGAAGTTGCAAGCATGGACTGGTACATGGCAAATCCCCCGAAACCTGGCCCTAACCTATACACGGAGCAGGCAACACGTGAGAGAGAGAGAGAGAGAGAGATAGGGGGATTGCCCGTGACGTACTAGGCAAAGCAAAGAGATGTATTATGTATTTACAGATATATATATATATATATATACTCATTCATTTGTTGCTTTTAAGAAAAATACACAAGCACATATACACATACACAAAGATATACACATACGCATGAACGTATGCAGATGCATATGTGTGTATACGCGCGAAGCAAAAGTTGATTCGACGATTTCTTCCACCCTACTTTTCTGTTACACCGAAACTTGAAAGATTTTGCTACTTCGCCGCCGACATGATCTGTTATGTGTCTCGCGTTTTGTCTTGGACAAGCTTGTTAGTCGTGTCAGTCCTCGTCAGCTACACTATGGTGTGCAGAAGCATTAGATCCACACTCAGTGCATGCGCTTGGTCGGGCTGCAGGCATTCCTGCTCATCAACTTCGGCGTCGGCCCGGCACCCAAGACAGCTTAAAGTGCAAAATCAGTGCAGAAACAGCACATAAGCGTAAGTAGGCTTTCTTAGCTTAGCGCCACAGAGTAGCCAGCAACATGCAGTGTAATGCCTGACCCTCAACTGTAGCTTAATCTAGTCGCTGATGAGTCCGGAGCGGCTGGTATCCGCCCCAGAAAGCCTTGAACCCACAACCCTGAAAACATTACTCGCTGGAGCCTACTAAATCCTGAACCCGAAGCGATCAGTCTGAACCGACGAGCCTTGGAAGCTGTCACCTCCAGAAAAGACGCCCAAGAGTTCAGGATTCACGGTGAAGGGTTTGCGATTCAGGGTTTAACTCCTCAGGTTGAGGATATATATTTTGGGTAGCTGGACCTCGCAGAACATACTTTCTGAGGTGGTTTTAGCCTTTGGTTTCGTAGGTCATGCAGTGAAAAGGTGGCTTTCGGTAGGATCCTGGCTGGGGATGGAACTACCCGAAGGCGGTTCCGACCCTGAAGAACCTAGCTTTTTAAGGACCCGATAAAAGGAAACCATCATAAGGAGCATAAAACAGGTAGGCTAGTTGCGGTTACGGTGAACGGTGAATGCCACATCCTGGGCGACACACAAAGCAAGCCAAAACGCCAATTCAATTACGGAGGCGCCGGCGGGATAATTACCCATGTTATATTCCTCAGGTCCCCTTTCTGTACTTTCACTTTACCTACTAATTAGCTATATCTGAAACCCTTTTCTATTTTTTAAGACCGCTACATTACAAGCAGCGCAGCTACCTAGGAGCCATGTTGGCTCAAGCCGTACTCGGGGCAATCCCCCCATTGCCCCTTCCATGTGACCGAACCGTGCAAACGACGTGAGGATGCGCCTCATCGCCATTCTCTTACTTTCTCCATGTCTTGCAGAGAACCAGTGTGATCTGAGCCAGGAGGAGTCTGTGTCACAGTGGGGGCCTGGGCTACTACAGCAGAGCTACCTGGTCCGGGAGCGGGAAGATAGACTCGCCTTCAGCATCACTGAAGCGAAGGCGAAGGCTTCTTCTTCTGCAGAGAGGCCGGTGGTATCAGCTTCTTGGAATCTCGTCGACCGCAGCCGCTTCGGCACCCGGATAGTGCACTTCCCAAGCTGGGTCTATGGAGGAATCGCCGGATTCTTCGTCGTCGTGTTTCTTCACGAAGTGTATGTCTCGGGAGGCGGTGTTCCAATCTGTCAGCCAACAAACCCGGAGAAGTCCATCGCATGTCAGCTGATGAACTTATGGTCGAGCGCTTCGCCATTTGTGGCCATGTCAATGCAGGTGCCAATCTCGCTGGATTTCGCTCTCTCCCTCCGCCAATCAGCCACGTCGTCAGGGTTCTTCCTCAGCTGCGGCGTGATCACAGGAGTGTTCGCTATGGTCGCCGGGAAGAGACTCGTGGATGAAGAGAACTGGGATCAGTTTCGCGTGCGGCGGGTGCTGGTCATCGTTCCGCTCATCGCCGCGGTTTTTAGCTTTGCATCCGCCATTTTCATCAATGAGACACTCAGTTCTGCAGCATCCAACCTTTCACGTCTTGGGTTTTCGCGTAACTCCGTTAGTTCACTCTTTGAACCCTTTATGTCTTTGGGGTTATGGGGGAGCAAGGACAGCAAGCAGTGATCGGGTGTATATGATCTGGTGGGTGATGATCGGCTTGTCTTGCGCGGGATCTTTTGTCGCACCACTGTCAGTGATTCCCGGCATGATCTTCTGGACGAAGATTCTACCCTGCATTTTGTGATAGTTGCTTTCCTTTTCGGTCGCAAAGAGGTATCGCGTGATCACTAACTACTTTTATAGTTTGTCGAGATTGAGAGCTCGAACCCGAGGATTACGAAGTCCAAGAATCGAACGTTTTGGATGATCCTGACACAGTGCGCCCGGAACCTGGGCATGGTAGTGGGACCCGGACTCTTTGCACTTCTACGGGTTTTTGTGACAGGTGGAGGCGAGAGAGTGAGTCCACGCAGCATGATGGGATGGGTGAACCTGCTGCTTTTGGTCTTCTCCCTGATCTCGGCCGCCTTCGGTGCCTTTGTGATGCCGGCAAGGATTTCTGACTATCCGTCGAACTCAGAGGACCAGGACGAGGATCCGGAAGACCTGGTCATGATCTCTGACGCTCAGCTCGAGGCTATGGGGGAGCCGGAGCGAGAGCAGGTGGTCTGGAACATGATATGGTACGCCTTCGAGCGGCCCTTTACGCTGTCAGCTGTGGAGGTGTCCACCATCATGATGCTAGAGATCTACTACGGTTGGGATCCATACATCACCGGCATTTACTTCACGGCGGTCTGCTCCCTGGGCATCATTATGTCCGTTTTCACAACTGTTGCTTTGGTAAAAGGATGGCTGACGGAGTCCTATGTCTTCTTGGCCTCTGCAGCGTCGTCGATCCTTGGCTGTCTGCTCCTCCTGGAGTTTGTTCCAACTCCGGGGTGGACGCTGCTCATCGCTGACTGCATCATTTACACTGGCGCTACGGTTGCCAATGGTTTCGCCGAAGGCTGGGCCAGCCGTGCAGCGAAGGAGGGCACTAGCTTCAGCAACGCGGAGTACCGCTTGCGACAGCTCACGGCCGTCACAGCGAGCCGCTTCATGGGTCCCATCATAGGTCGATCTCTCGTCGATTATGGGGGCCGAAACGTGTACGCGACAGTGCAGCTGGCGATGTGCATACTGGGAACCAGGACGGTCTACAAGACCGTGGCCCTCATCTGGAGCTGGAACCAAGCCCGCCTCGGCAAGGACCCGAAGGCCAGGTCTCCTTCTAGTGTGGGTACTACCTGGACCCTAAGGAACCTACCTTTTTAGGGTTCCCTAATATGATTTCTTTATATAAGTCCTTAAAAAGGTAGGTTACTTGGGGTTAAGGTGATGATTGAGGGATGCTATAGCGGCCTTAGTAATAAGAATAGGGTTTGGGCGCCCATTCTGCGATACAGTAGAAGCCAGAGAGTTGGAACATCATTATCCTCACGGCCTTAAAGGTAAAGCATAGGGGATCCCAGCACTTATCATCCTAAATCATCCTAAATCCATGTGAAACACTTTCGGGGGTTGAATGGAAGTATAGTAAGGAACCCCCAAAAATACTGGTAGTATTGGTAGTTATGTAGGCCCCTACATTACTCAGTCGGGAACCCCAGAGGTGCCGGCCCCCGCGGAGAAGCTTCTTAAGGGAGTGGAAGCTCCCAGCAGTTCCAGCGGAGCCGCCGCAGAACCTAGCGGTTGAGAACATCTTGGTCAATAGTACGAGTGATATTTAGAGGAGCTTTTAATCATAAGGTCTAGTAGCAAAAAGCATACAGAAATTAATTTGATGGAACCCCAACATAGTATAGGTGCTCATTTTAGCCACCAGAGGGGCTGAGCCCCAAGCCTTACTGCTTTCTGACTAGGGACTAGGGCTATTGATTGAAATTATTTTTGTATGGGGCTTTAAGAACTCCGTAGCTCGAACAGGATGTGGGGGTTTTGTATATGTTAAGTTAGTACATGTAGGGGGCTTTAAATTCTCACATCTATAAGGCCACATCATACAGAGTTTCCGGCGGGTTGGAACTTTGCAGATCTCTTGGCTAAACCGTAAGCCGTAAACTAAACTTGTCCGAGTGTGAGCGCCGAAACTAAGCTTTCGTCGTTCAGCTATGCAAGACACAAAAAGCTTAATGCTTGCATGTTCGGGGCACTCGTGGAGGTAGTGCAGCGCCGCTAGTGTTGGAAGGCTGGCAGTCGATCTGGATCGACTTAGGTTCGGCTTCTGTATTTGAGGTGTGGCAACGTGTGATTGACGATGTTTGGTTCGTTCCTGACGCGTTCCAAGGTCGAACTGTTATTGGGCTGTTCTGAGTCGACTGTGTATCTTCCCCCGGCATTACCGAGCGCGCGAGTTGAAACCCGCAAGTAAGCCCTAACTCGCACAAACTTCGCCAAACCCACGTCCTGAACCCGAAGCTCTCAACCCAAATCCCAAGTCTCAGAAGGAGCAGGGTTTGAAAATGGGTCAGGCTCGGGGTTTCAGGCATTTTCAGGACCTCAGCCCCTGAACCCCAAGCATTGCGAGGCTCCGGTCGCAAGAGGCACCAGTACCATGGGTTTTGGGGCTTTAGGTTGTTGGGGCATGTCCGAGAGTGAGCACGCAAAACATCAAGCTAGACTAGATAGTTTTCTTTGGCAGACAGCCTTGCAAGGTTGCTGCTCGTGCATCTGTGATGCTGAGGCTGTTGCATGCAGTAAACCCGGCGAAAATCCCGTGCAGCCCTATTACAGTTCTGAAGTCCAAAACCTTAACCACAAGCCTTAACGAGGCTTGATGTTCTTCGTGTCCTGCTTCGACCGTGTATCTACCGGTAATGGCACTTTCGAGATCCACTACAAGGCAGGGCCTGGTGGGGTTCCGACGTTCAGTGGGATTTGTGAGCCTCGAGGGCCTTTTGGTTTTGGGAAGTTTTGGGGTGGAGGACTATGGGGCTTCTATAGTTGAGGATCGACGTGAATGGTTGTCAAAATTATGGTCTCTTTTTGGGTCCTTAATATTATACGGCACCTAATATTTAGAGTACCCTAATTTTGAAAACTACCCGCGTTTATCAGGTGGGATATGGGTGCTGCAGAAAGGTGGTCGGGCGACTCGTAGGAATTCTTCAGCCGACGGACATGTTTGGAGGCAGGGGTGAGCACGAAATACTTGCACAACGGGGGTACTGGGGAACCAAGAAGCCCAAATGAGCTTGAAGCCTATACAGTAGTCAATTCGGCCTTGTTCTGAGGCCAAGAGCCAGACTAGCAGTATACTGCTAAACACCGCATACGTATCGGTATCGATCGAACCGCCCGATAACAACCATGTTTATGGATAGCAACCCCCTTTTGTTTATGTGTTGCCAATTGCAGAGTGTCGGTTCGGTTCGGTAGCGATACGCCATACCGAATACCCACATGACCACCCCAGCCACACCACTATTCTCGTGCCACCGCCCTCCGGAGCCACCACTCTCCAGCCAGCTCCAGCCACCTGCTTCCAGCCACCACCGTCCACCACCCTCAGCCACCACCCTCCAGCCCCCGCCACTCGGGTGGGTGGCTGGTGCTGGTGACTGGAGGGGTAGTTAGCTGGAGGGGTGGTGGCTGGTGGCTGGTGGCTGTGAGTGGTTGGAGATGAGAGGTAAATTGCTAGCTACTCTCACCATCACCGCCATGTCAGGCTAAAGAGCTGTGGATTCTCTTCGGCTTCGTCATGTGCTTCGCCTGGGTCTACGAGTACAGCACGGCCATGTGGCGGCCCTGCATTTCCGAGCTCTCAATCGTTTGGTGTGTTTTCAGGGTGGGGCCTGGTACGGATTGAGAGTATCCGTTTTTGCACAGGAGGCTCTCTAGGTCTCTAGGTGGGAGGATCTCTAGGACGTGGGAGGTTTGGAGCGCAGAGACTTGGGAGTCTATGGCATAGGGTTGCCTGCATGAAGACGGTAGTGTAACAGCCTGAAGAGTTAAGAATACTGTACCTTAGGGTTCCTCATCATTCGTTGTACTTGAACCTGTCCTCAAGCCTTGATGGTTTTGAGGCCCCTACATTATGAGTTTGGGTTTCTTGGGTTGCCGGCTTGGGGTTTTGGGCCCACTGCGCTACCCCTCACCTTTCAGCTTCCCGACTCCGGGCCGAGACACGAAGTCGCAGCTAGCATACCATTTCTTGGGATGCCTTAACCCCAAAACCTCATTCAAATTGTTAAGGCTCAGTGTATAATCTTTCAGGTGCTTTCGGGGCCTTGGGGTTTGTTTTCGCAGGCTTAGATCCGCATTGAGACCTGACCCGCGAGCTCCACACCCTGAAACTGGAATCCGAAACCTACCGTTGAAGCTAACAACACCCACTTCTTTGTGGGCTCAAGGTTGTTTGTCGGTGCGTCTTATGAACTAGTCGAGGGTAGTTGTCTCCACCCGGATGCTTGGCATTTTTCCTTGCTTGCAGGGAGTGCACGGGCGTCGGGCAGATGTCTGGCTCAGTTGCAGAAGCGATGTCAGCAAGCAGCCAGCATTCGTTCAGGACATCCGCAGATATTTTCAGCCGACCAGATCAACACCTTCGCAAACCCTGAAGCCCTAAACCCCAAAAGCCAATATCTTCGAAGCTTCCCATCCGATCCATGAGAGTCCAGTTGTAAACAGAAGCTTCCCATCCAACTCTTCCAAACAGGGCTCCCACAGAGTCGCGCACCGGTGCGCCTTGAGCCATGCCGCCTCGACCCCTTCTAAAGAAGGTGCCGAGCGGCAGCTGGGGTGCCTTGGCCCGGTCAGCGAATTAAAGTAGAAGCCTTTGTGCTTACTAACATTACTAACATCACTCCTTAGGGTGCCGTATAGAACTACACAACTTAGGAGAAGAAGAATAGGCATTACTATTCTTATTGCGTTTGTACACTTCTTGTTAGTATTGTTTTTCAGTATTATGAGCATTATATGCATTAGTTGTTGTCGTCGTGGCAGTAATGTTTTTAGTAGTAGTAGTAGTAGTAGTAGTAGTAGTAGTAGTAGTAGTAGTAGTAGTAGTAGTAGTAGTAGTAGTAGTAGTAGTAGTAGTAGTAGTAGGAGTAGGAGTAGGAGTAGGAGTAGGAGTAGTAGTAGTAGTAGTAGTAGTAGTAGTAGTAGTAGTAGTAGTGGTAGTAGTTTTAGCAGTAGTAGTAGTAGCAGCAGCAGCAGCATTCGCATTCGCAGTCGCAGTCGCAGTCGCAGTAGCAGTAGGAGGATTACTAGCGTTTCGAGTTTTGACTGGGAGGTGCTATGTTCTTCTATACTAGAATATACCCCAACACCCTCTTCCAAACTACTACTTGAGGACCCTATGTTAGGGCATTGCAGTTGTGGGGTCCAATGCACGGTTGCCTACAACACTACTTCACATGTTATACGTCCGCACACCCAAGAGCGAGGTGGCCCATTGTTCCGGCCTGGGGGGCCAAACAAGCCGATTGAATGTTGATGTGTGGGAAGGGAAGCTCTGTGCCGTTGAGACGACATACACTTTCAAGTGCAGGAGGCAAGAGCTCAGTGGAAGGGGTCTTTCTATAGGGTTTACAGGCGGTCAACTACAAGGTTTTCCAAGGGAGTGTCGGCATGTGGTGGCAAAGACGGCGATTGCACCGCTCCTAAACACAACGAGCGAGAACTCGAGAGAGAGAGAGAGAGAGAGAGCGAGCGAGCAATCGAGCGCGTGAGACGTTTGCACGACACCACAAAGAGGTGCAGAAAAGACAGACAGAGCGGATCCTAATACCATCACCATGCAGGTGCAGGAGGCTGGGGCGCAGGTGGCAACGGGAAGTACCCAACACCCACTGCAAACGAATGTGCCGCTGGCCATGCAGATGTCTTTTTCCGGGGCACATGACCATGCAAGTTTACTCTTCGAAGGGGTTGGGGCTGAGGGTTGGCATGGTTCCTTCGATTACTTATTGTTCGGTTATTGCGACTGTCATGACTACTGTTGCCATGGCTAGTGTAATCATAGTTATGACTACTCGGGACAATGTGATTACTGTGTTTGCGGCTTTCCTTTGGATTGACTTCAGTCTGATCGGTGGTTGCCTCCAATCATTGTAACTATCTTGAACCAGCTATGACCTACTTTTGCCTAATTACAACAAGGGTACATTACACCTTCGGCAGTAGCAACCTACGACTTTTTCGGTTATCATGGCAGTTTAAGGTATGTCGTGGCAAGCCTCAAGCCCCAATCCTTGATATCAGCCTGCATCCCCCGGCGACCTGTGGCCAGGATGTATCTCCGATGTTGTAGCAGCCGTGGAGTTTCGACAACGATGAACAGCCTGTTTACATAGCTGAGCACTTCACCCAACATTGAATCCGGGCGGTTTCGCTGTGCTCTCAGAAGTCTCATGTCGCACAAAATGATAGGGTCGATACTATGAGCACACCCCAACAGGACCGTTTTGGCAAAACCTTGCAAACCGTCATCAAGCTCTGAATTCAGAACCCCTCCTCCTTTGCCTTCGCAAGTGCAAGGAACAGATTCGGCAGGATTTCCATAAGCTGCTGGTGAAGAAATACGGGACCATCGCAGGCCCATGGCCGGGCTTCTCAGCCAATAAAAACCCCACATCCCAGCCCCTCGCCGACTACGCCCGATAGACCTCGCCTGGATTGTCCGAATTGTGAGTGTACATCCCAGCCCCTAGTACTTGATTGCTATGCGGGATCGTCGTTGCAATGTAAGAGGAAAACCTGGAATCCAAAACCCTAAGCCTTAAGCCCTAAACCTTCAATGATAAACGTTTGACCCTGCCACTTCAACTGCCTTTATCCCTAGAACTTCAAGCCCTAAATCCCTATACTCTCAAACCCCTCCTAAACTCCACATTGCTAAAACCCCGTGACGCCTAAAATCTGAGCAGAGAAATCGGGAAGAGGCGCCTGGAAAGTCATCGACGTCAACCAGGCACCCTGGCCCGTTTTGCTTGGTGCCCTGATGTGTCTACCCGGGTTCTCCTGAAGGGCTCTCTTTAAGGATACTGCATAGGCTCTAGCGAGTGTTTCCCGTTCTGCTTTTCAACCCTATCGGAGGGTAGTGTTGCAATTTTGGGTCTACCCCTACACCCTAAACTTCCCTAAACTCAATGGGCTATTGGAGGGCATTGTTTCTAGTTCGGGTCAGTGGGGCATATCGCCCCACGTTTGGGACCCCGGCCTTCGAAGCTCAGTTCACGTTCGCAGATCTTGAAAGATGATGAGGTACCGTAAACTGAGACTTCATCTTTGAACATCATGTATGACGAGGTAAGGGGGTGGTCATACCGTCAAGCCTAAGCAATATGTAGGACTGTACTAGGTGCAGGGGCGGCCAAGCCTGGGTTAAACTGACTTCAGACTTTTGAATCCCACGCCCAAAGCCCTTCGCCACGAGACTGGCCCAAGTCCTCAGCAACAACCCTCACTAAGCTACCCGGCCGGGCAAGACATGTGAAAGCTGTGGAGGACGGAAAGCTCTCGTTCTTCGAGTTCATCCGCGGCTGCCAGAGCTTGGGTGTGAGCCAAGGACAGCGCATGACTAATTGACTAGTGAGCCCAGTGGCGTCAATGTGTAGAGAACCCGTCGACTATGCAGAAGAAGACCAACAACAGTGGCAAGTAGCAGCAGCAGGAGTAGCACTAGCACTCAATGGGAGTAGCATTAGCAGTAGCGGTAGCAGTAGCAGTAGGAGTAGGAGGAGTAGGAGTAGTAGTAGCAGCAGCAGTAGTAGTAGCAGTAGTAGCAGTAGTAGTAGTGGTGGTAGTGGTAGTGGTAGTGGTAGTGGTAGTGGTAGTGGTAGTGGTAGTAGTAGTAGTAGTAGTAGTAGTAGTAGTAGTAGTAGTAGTAGTAGTAGTAGTAGTAGTAGTAAGTAGTAGCAGCAGCAGTACAAGTAGTAGCGGTAGCGGTCGCGGTAGCCGTAGCAGTCGCAGCAGCAGGAGTAGAACCACTTCGACCCCGTGCTCTCAAGTTAAGACAGCCTTTTCTGGACGCACTGTCCACTGGTCCTTGCTAGACCAATATTCAATGATGATGGGTAGTTCCATTGAGATCAGTGCAGAACCATGCACACAAGGATATTTTCTGTAAAGGTGTTTTCATGTACCTGTAGTCTGTAGCTGCCCTGCCGCAGGCGCCCGGCGCCTGTTTGGCGCATTAGACTTAGATCGATCTGGCTTCATCTCGCCCCTCGGCATCTCTTCAACAGCAAATTCGTAACCCTAGGTTCAGTCCCAGAGCAACCTGTTAAAATGTTAGTCTGGATCCTACTTCAACTGGTTCTTCGTCGGGTGGTTCTATGGATCCTTGCAGTCATCGAGTCCCGACGATACAGCAAGAACAGGGCTACGGTTCAGGGTCCAATACGTACAGGACCTACAGACTCGCATCGCCGACGTTTTCGGATGTGCTAGGCTTTGTCATACGACGGATGGCTCATAGGCTGTTTGCATGCAGGACTTGGAATCAGGGAGCGTGTATCATGGAGAGTTTGGCAGGTAGATGTCTTGTGCCGAATGTCGTCAATTAATACATCACCCTCTAAAACCCTTCGCCACCAACACCCCTAAACACCGATAATATCGAATACCTGCAAGTCCCCCCGGTAATCCTTTGGCTTTAACCGTGAGCCGAAACCCAACATTTGAGGCTGGCGGAGATAGATCCACCACTTGCAGAGATGATGACGAGCCTGTCGCTCCGCAGCACCGGGCCCTCGTAATTCAAGGCACTGCCCCTCTCCCTGAAGGCCTTGCGTATAAGTTGTAGAGCTTGGGGTGCATGGCGCAGAAATCGTTCCAGTATCCCTTACCCGAGGCACTTTCGTTCAAAATTGGTGTAGGATTCTCGATAAGCCCTCCACTTATGGCGCACTCCAAAGTCCTAAACCGAATACTGTCTCCCCAGCGAAAGGTCTGTCACGATTTGGTCCGTCTTCGGCACAGTGGAGAAGGCCACAGCACAAGTTCGTCCTGTTCGGCATCAGCCGGTGTCAGCTTTTTGTAACAGCATCTGGGAAGGCACCCTTGTTAGTGTTATGTTATTAAGTTATAATCCGCCTTATGAAGGAGGTTCAGCGTTCGCGCTACGCTTCCTGATATTCTGGCCTGCTTTTTCGTGCCCTTGCATTGCGAGACACTTGATGATGGCACGGCAGAGAGAGAGAGAATCCGCCTTAGAGTCACTATTACAGGGTGGGGCCCCTTCTAAAGTATACAAGAGTACATAACTGCGGAGTCCTTCGGATCTGCCTTTCCCGGAGCTTGTTCGGCTCTCCCGGACAGCAAGCCCCGAAGCTCAATTCCAGCTCGGCACAGGCATGGGTTAAATGCTTCAACACGAAAGGCAAGCTGAGGCCATGACTTTCAGCCTGGGTTTAAGGTTTAGGGTGTCTCGAAGGTCGATTGTTTGGGATCGCTCGTTGGAATGAAGTGGACTTGTGCATGAATTGAGTTTGGAACTCCTTGAATTCTCATTCAAAGCTACGTATCGCAACACATGGGATTGCGTCTCTAGGCCCCAAAGCGCTTGAACATCAAGCCTGGATCCGCGGCTTCTAGTTTGTAACGTATGGTGTCTCTTCTACGTAAGTCTGCTCTTTGGTCTATAAGGGTCCACACAAAGCTTCGGGGCCAAAAAGGGGAACATGCGCACGAGACCGGTTGGCATTTGAGGGCCGGCACATTGCTCCCACGAATGATGAACTCCGTAATCAGCATTATCATTCTAGCGAGAACAATATGGAGAACATGTTCTTCAGCACCTGCATGGGTATTTTAGAGTGAACGACAGGCTTCTCATCTCCCTATCCATTCTATACATGGTCTAACCTTTTGACTGGTCGTACGTCGAACCCGAGACCTCGTCTGGCCGAGTTGTGAGAGCGTAATTCTACATCATACACGTATAATGCCATGCCATTTAAAACAGCGGGCCTGAGACTTAAAGCAGGGCTTTGTTGTAGCAGACGCTAATCATGCACGAGGTAGCCCGAAGGAAGAGCATAAATCCTACAAGCGCAGGTTCCATCCGTCTGAACTCTGCTATGATTATGAACTCGAGATAGTGCATGAACGCCTAAAGCTTCAATGCGAACGCTAAACTCAATGCCGCTAAGCCCCGTTACTTGTGTCAAGCCTCAATTTACACAATTCCGAAAAAGCCCTCAGCTTCCAACTATAAGTTGTCCTGTGTTCGGTGCGGGCAGGATCTCCGAGCAGGACTTCATAGCCGCGACGCGGGAGATCGGCTTCCGCGGCCGATCTTCTGCGATTTGTAGAGCGTCTTCTGCACGGTACTACCAGTGGCTTTACAGCGTTGTGTCATGTGTTGCAATTGTGTATCATCTGTCGTTTGCGTTGTTCTTTCTCTTTCTCTCTCGCTGTCTCTCTCTCTTTCTCTCTCTCCCTCTCCCTCTCTCTCTCTCTCTCTCTCTCTCTCTTCTCTCTCTCTCTCTCTCTCTCTCTCTCTCTTCTCTCTCTCTCTCTCTCTTTCTCTCTTTCTCTCTTTGTGTCTCTCTCTCTCTCTCTCTCTCTCTCTCTCGTTTTGTAGAACTTTTCGTGCCAGTACTTGTATGATTGGTCCTCGTGCTCACCGTCAGTATGTACAGAATCACCTGGTTACACCTTCTTGTTGCCGTCAAAGCCGCGTTCAGATTGGTGGGCAGACGTAGGCCCTGCGAACTCGAAGGTGTATATAGACCCTGTGCTGGCAGGCAATGCATCTCACCTCTTTTCGGAGCTGGCAACAGAGAAGGCTTGGCGTACGCCATGGGGTCGCGCACGGATGCAGGGATTAGGGTCAACAGCCCATTCTTGTAAACCTGAAACCAAGACTGGTGAGATTCTGAGAATTGAACCCCAAACTTTATACTCTGACAGCTCCCTCGCCACCAACACACACAATGTTTGCCATCTGGGGTTTGAATCTTACTGGAGCTAAAAGTTGCGGCAGTGCCTGTGTTGTAATATCTTGATGGTCCGAAAACAGAAGAGAAGTCAACCGAGACACGCAGTTGCATTTATTTGGGGTTTCCGGGCCCTCGCAGATCCCCAATAGACCCAAAAAGCACCTCCAGAGTCTCCAGAGCACCCCTATACCCAGAAGAGCTAAACAGCCTTCAAGAGCACCGGAACTAGACCGTCAGGAACCCTTTCGAAACTCCTATGCAGATACTCTCAGATACTGTATGGCAGGCCAGCACCGGCATCTCCCGCGGGGAGTTTGGCTTCCTCCACATTTGGAGCCTCGGCCTTCGTTCCGTTTTTTCGTTCGAGATTCGGGAGCTTTGGGATTTCTCCACTTTTCGCAGGTCGGACTTTCCGACATAACAAGTAAACTCAGGACTTCAACCATTGGATCAAGCCCTCCGAAACGGTTCCACATCCGCTGGGATCATGAACCCTTATCACGGATGGCCACAAGTTCTAAAGCCCCTACACTCCAGGTAAACCGTAATTAGCACTGCATGCACTCAAAACCTGACCAGATCAAGCCCAAGCCGAAGCCCGAATCTGCTTTGAGTTTAGGATCGCGAATGGACAGCCTGATCGCATCGGTAGCGAGGAAAAGGAGTCGCGTTTCCCGGCGATGACGGGAAATGCGGGGCTTTGCGAGTTTTAGGGTCCAGGTTGTGGGGTTTAGGGTTTCGGTCCGCGAGAGAGAGAAAGAGAGAGAGAGAGAGAGAGAGAGAAACATTGGATCCCCCAGGTTGTGCAGGAATGTTATATAGACTAGGAGACACACGCCCCACCGAAAGCCCCGTAACAAACGGGGGGCCCACAGGGCCGGGGGGCCTGACAAGCCCCTTGAGCCCTGCAGAAGAAGGAGAGAGAGAGAGAGAGAGAGAGAGAGAGACAGAGAGAGAGAGAGAGAGAGAGTTTCGGGAGGTTAGGATTGGAGTTTCATGGTTCTTGCAGGCATGCAGAGGTTCTTAACCAGAGAGGCTACAGTGTTTGCTTGTTTTGACCATAGGTGTGCAAAGGTTTGATGTTTTTTGGAGGCGTTTCCAGTTCCTGCTGCTTCTAAGTACCTGAGACTACCTAGCATACCATTCAAGACATCTGTTGGTCTTCGGCATTTTTGCCTTTGTGTTGGTGTCCTTATTCCTGTGTTTGGCGACATGAAAGTCGTTACTATTGTTGTCGTTGCTGCTTCATGTTTCCATGAGCATTCAAGCCTTGAGACATGCCTTGGTCTTTAAGTACTTGTCTGCGCCGTTCCACGCACGAAGCCGCAAAGACATTGTTGATGTATGCATGCACATGCTATATACGTGTACATGTGCATATATGTTAATACATGCTACCAGAAGGGTAGAACCCAACCCCCTGGTGCAAGGTTGGGCAAAGCCAGTGGAGCAGTGGCTGCCGCCTGTGAGTGCGCCAGAGGAGCTGTGGACACAGGGTGTCTTAGGTGCCCGGGTTACTTAGAATTCATGCCTTCCGATCTTCAATGCTTCGTGCCTGTGCCTCAAATCGAAACCCTAAAACCCCCCAAATCGTGAACGTAAACCTAGTCACTAGTCCCTGAACCAAGCTTGCAATCCGTAACCCCCAGCCCCCAAACTCTCCCTCAGGAGAAAGACTGGCGAAGACAATTCAAGGCCAGTCGATTCGGGCTTCCTGAAGATGCATTGAATGTAACTGTTTAGGGGCCATGCCCTTTAATCGTGAGATCATAGCCTTCCTGGGGCTATAGCTATACTCGGGATCAGTCTGTGCGTTGTTCACGATTTCCTTTCACTTTTTTCCCCCGAAGACTACTTGAAGAGCTTGGAAACCGTAAACTCTGCTCCTAACTAGGCAGGAGGCAGGAACACATAGCAACCCTGCATCGCCTTTGTTGCACTAACTGTTACCACGAGCGCCTGAACGGAACCCTCACTCCCGATTCAGCTGAACCTTTGAGTTCTACAAGCAGCGACGGCTCGGCCTCCCCCACGTCGCAAGAGGGTTATCGGGCGGTAATTGGATGCCTTAGGATTTTTTCGAGTTGGTGTTGAGGTTGTTATGATGTTTTTGGTTACTGGCTTTGTGTTAGCAGCAGTCAGTGGCTTTCCGCACCCTGGCATGCTCGCACCGCACCGTCCAGGTTCAAAAGGCCCCTGCGTTTGGTAGTTTGAAAGGTACTGAACTTAAAAGTCCGGGCTAGAGGGCTGACCATTTCCCACCCAGCCGAACAGTACCAGAGCTTGGGTACAGAGGGCGACTACTGTCCAATTTGTCCCATCACTGCTTGTCAGTTGCCCCCAAAATCAAAAAAACATCCGGGGTACTTAAACCATCATACCCTTAGCCCCAAGGCATCCAACCCTCAAGCCGTAATGCCGTCAATTTGTGTGACAGACGCTGCTGCTCAAGTCCTACCAGAACTACGTGCGCGCCTGGCGCCAAGGGCTGGATCGTGACCGGAATGGGCAACTGGACTACAACGAGCACCTTGGCTGGGTCGTAGGTCGTTTTTGCATAGGTTATGGAGGAATGTCGAGGAATAGCAGTTCTAATTATTAGTATGTAGAGGTTATAGAAGAAGTTTCTAATTTTCTGTAAGGTTTACAGTCCGGGTTCCACCCTGAGCGCTCCCCCGCATCCACCCCTCCCCCTGCAGCACATTGCGTGCGTGTATCTTGTTCGAAAGGGGTGAATGCCAAGGAGAACCGTTCCAAAATGCGGGCTCTACGATCCCATCATATCCCATCACCACCGAACTCACTACAGATCCTGCAGCCAAATGCGAGACTCGAACCCTGCAAGCGAGAAACCCTGTCACACTCTAAACCGTACCCCAAAACCCGAAACCTATCACACTCTAACCCGTGCCCTAAGCCTCCAGAGCGTAATTCCCAAACTACACTCTGCATAGCCTAACACTCAAACGCGTTGACGGGTTTACCCAGGTTCAAAATGGCCGTGAAAGATGTCGGCTTCGCTGGGAATGCCCGTGAGCTGTGGCATCAGCTGGATGAGAATGGCAACGGAGTGGTGGGGGTCTCGGCTCGTTGAGGGTTTAAGTAAACTAAAGGAGGAGTTTTCTGGCCACTTCATACCGAGCCTGTTTCACTGCTTCGTGAACCGCCGGAGGGCTGAGAGGCCTGCAAAAATGGAAATAGATCTCCGTAGTAATGCCCCAAAACCCAACAGTATCCCAAAGCTCGATGGGGCCTTGCCGAGGTGAGCCTTTGGGAGCTGGACCTCGACACAGCCGAACCTCTGCGCTTTACCCGTTACACCTTCTTTGTCGGGATTTTGCGTCCGTTTTGGGGTGCTACTGGTAGGGGCTTTCGGGTCTGTGGGGTGTGTCTGATTGCCCTTGTCACGAGGGGGTGATTGGGTTTCAGAGTTCGGGAACGTTTGGACTTTTGCCAAGTACTGCCTGGCAATTTTTGAAATTGAATTGTTCCCTCAAGGGTTCTTTTCCGGGGTGGTGCAAGCTTAGGATAGTCCCACACACAGTGTTAAACCATACAGGAGCAAGAGCACAAGCGCAGACGAAGCCCGAACTGGCACGACAGCTATTGGCAGCACCAGAACCAGAACCGAGACACATGTCCCAAATCTTGGCACCTATGAAATCTCAGCACCCAGCTATCCCAAACGAAAACGTCTGTTTGTATGCATGTTAAAAGAGGGGAAATCCCCAATAGTTTCGGTATGCTCGGTGTGGCATCGTGGGAAAACCCGAATCAGGAACTGCTCCACGACTTCCACGAATGTGGCTTGGTTCCGAGCAGATCTTGGAGTTGAGGGTCTGCCTTAGTGTTTCGGGTCGTGCACTCGCCCTATAAGCAGGACCCTGACATACCTACTTGTAGCGGCATAAACTCTTCCTAGGGTTTCGGGTTTAGGATTTTCAAGGTCCAGGGTTTGGAGACAGACAGTGTTTACAGCCAGATAGGTAGTTTGGGTTTCCTAGTCTTCGAGCAAGCAGCCTCCACTTTGTTTTGAGATGCCCCTCGTCTGCTCAAAAAGGCTGACCTTTTGTTGAATTGGGGAGTTGGGTGTGTTAGGAATGGGTTTTGTCGGAGTAGAAGGTTTACTCGTAGTTGTCCGGTACGCTTGCTGTAGGCTTCGGCACTTGTTGAAGCAGGGTTGTTTATTAAAAATGAAACTAAATTAATGTGTTTTGCCCAGTGTCGTCACCTACCGCAGTGGACCCAGAAGTCCGTACAGCCAGGCAGCCCCAAAGCACCGGACTGCAGTGCTTCTGCCTCTTGCTGGAAAGCTACAGAGACGGTTCCCCTACCGGTCCAACTCCGAAGTTAGGGATACCTCGGTACTGGTACCAGGAGTGGCAGGTCTTGGAACCTATGAAACAGGGTAAATATATTATTTCTGTGAGTTTTCTGAGAGAAACAGTGAGAGAGGTTTGTGTGAGTTTGGTTAGAGCGAGTTCGGTGTTGTAAATTTCTTGTGAGCGGTAGGTGTGAGTTTTCTGTGAGCTTTGGTGTGAGAGGATCTGAACGGAATTTGTAGAGCTGTGAGTTTCTTGTGAGCGGGGTGTGAGAGCGGAGTGTGAGCGGGGTGCGAGCGGGGTGTGAGAGCGGCCCCCAACTCCCGGCCCGCTCACACCCCGCTCACACCCTGCTCTCACACCCCGCTCACACGCCGGAAACCACGATTTCCTTGCATTTTACACTGGAATCGTGCCCTGCCCTGTGTGAGCGGGGGTGTGAGCGGGGTGTGAGAGCGGAGTGTGAGCGGGGTGTGAGCGGGGTGTGAGAGTGGCCCCCCGCTCCCGGCCCGCTCACACCCCGCTCACACCCCGCTCACACCCTGCTCTCACACCCCGCTCACACGCCGGAAACCACGATCTCCCTGCATTTTACACTGGAATCGTGCCCTGCCCTGTGTGAGCGGGGTGTGTGAGCGGGGTGTGAGAGCGGAGAGTGTGAGAGGGGGGGAGAGTGAGACGGAGTGTGAGCGGGGGGCGAGCGGGGTGTGAGAGCGGCCCACAACTCCGGCCCGCTCACACCCCGCTCACACCCTGATCTCACACCGCTCACACGCGGAAACCACCGATTTCCATGTATTTACACTGAATCGTGCCAGCCCTGTGTGAGGAGGGGGTGGGAGGGGGTGTGAGAGCGGAGTGTGAGCGGGGTGTGAGAGCGGAGTGTGAGCGGGGTGCGAGCGGGGTGTGAGAGCGGCCCCCAACTCCCGGCCCGCTCACACCCCGCTCACACCCTGCTCTCACACCCCGCTCACACGCCGGAAACCACGATTTCCTTGCATTTTACACTGGAATCGTGCCCTGCCCTGTGTGAGCGGGGGTGTGAGCGGGGTGTGAGAGCGGAGTGTGAGCGGGGTGTGAGCGGGGTGTGAGAGTGGCCCCCCGCTCCCGGCCCGCTCACACCCCGCTCACACCCCGCTCACACCCTGCTCTCACACCCCGCTCACACGCCGGAAACCACGATCTCCCTGCATTTTACACTGGAATCGTGCCCTGCCCTGTGTGAGCGGGGTGTGTGAGCGGGGTGTGAGAGTGGCCCCCCGCTCCCGGGCCCGCTCACACCCCGCTCACACCCTGCTCTCACACCCCGCTCACACGCCGGAAAGCACGATTTCCTTGTATTTTACACTGGAATCGTGCCCTGCCATGTGTGAGCGGGGGTGTGAGCGGGGTGAGAGCGGGGTGTGAGCGGGGTGTGAGAGCGGAGTGTGAGCGGGGTGTGAGAGCGGCCCCGCTCCCGGCCCGCTCACACCCCGCTCACACCCTGCTCTCACACCCCGCTCACACGCCGGAAACCACGATTTCCTTGTATTTTACACTGGAATCGTGCCCTGCCCTGTGTGAGCGGGGGTGTGAGCGGGGTGTGAGAGCGGAGTGTGAGCGGGGTGTGAGAGCGGAGTGTGAGCGGGGTGCGAGCGGGGTGTGAGAGCGGCCCCCCGCTCCCGGCCCGCTCACACCCCGCTCACACCCTGCTCTCACACCCCGCTCACACGCCGGAAACCACGATTTCCTGTATTTTACACTGGAATCGTGCCCTGCCCTGTGTGAGCGGGGGTGTGAGCGGGGTGTGAGAGCGGAGTGTGAGCGGGGTGTGAGAGCGGAGTGTGAGCGGGGTGCGAGCGGGGTGTGAGAGCGGCCCCCCCTCCCGGCCCGCTCACACCCCGCTCACACCCTGCTCTCACACCCCGCTCACACGCCGGAAACCACGATTTCCTTGTATTTTACACTGGAATCGTGCCCTGCCCTGTGTGAGCGGGGGTGTGAGCGGGGTGTGAGAGCGGGGTGTGATCGGGGTGTGAGAGCGGAGTGTGCGGGGTGTGAGAGCGGCCCCCGCTCCCGGCCCGCTCACACCCCGCTCACACCCTGCTCTCACACCCCGCTCACACGCCGGAAACCACGATTTCCTTGTATTTTACACTGGAATCGTGCCCTGCCCTGTGTGAGCGGGGGTGTGAGCGGGGTGTGAGAGCGGAGTGTGAGCGGGGTGTGAGAGCGGAGTGTGAGCGGGGTGCGAGCGGGGTGTGAGAGCGGCCCCCCGCTCCCGGCCCGCTCACACCCCGCTCACACCCTGCTCTCACACCCCGCTCACACGCCGGAAACCACGATTTCCTTGTATTTTACACTGGAATCGTGCCCTGCCCTGTGTGAGCGGGGGTGTGAGCGGGGTGTGAGAGCGGAGTGTGAGCGGGGTGTGAGAGCGGAGTGTGAGCGGGGTGCGAGCGGGGTGTGAGCGGCCCCCCGCTCCCGGCCCGCTCACACCCCGCACACACCCTGCTCTCACACCCCGCTCACACGCCGGAAACCACGATTTCTCTGTATTTTACACTAGAATCGTGCCCTGCCCTGTGTGAGCGGGGGTGTGAGCGGGGTGTGAGAGCGGGGATGAGCGGGGTGAGCGGGGTGTGAGAGGACCTCTCCCTACTCACAGGTGCCGCTCTCAGAATTCTTACAGGTCTGCTCACAGAATTCTCACAGACCAGTCCCCTGCTCACAGGTACCGCTCTCAGAATTCTTACAGGTCTGTCCGCTGCTCACAGGTACCGCTCACAGAATCGCCCACAGAAAACTCACACAGGAATCACAGAAAAATAAATTCAAGGAATCCCAGAGCTTGCACGGCACTGCAACTCCTGGTACCAGTTAGGAAGGACGGATATTATTCCGCTGGTCAACAGGGATTCTTAATTTTTTGGAGAACATCCCCGTGTAACGCAGAGGCCGAAATTCTAAGACCACGGTTTTGGTGGCGGTAGTGTGGCGGTCATGCATGGGGTAAATTTTGAGGATCATGAAGTCTTCAGGACGTACATTCCAGATCATTTTGGTGGAGCCTTGGGAAGCACCCTTTACCCCAAACGCTTCACTCAAAAGCCCGCATGCTCGCAGGTGCTGAAGCCAGCTACGGATCGTGGGAGGCGCTGCTTGGCGCTGCGGGTTGCAGTCTCGTCCTTGGGTTTCTGGCTTTGTCGGGCGAGAGCCGTGAGTTGAAGGGCCGGGTCATTTGGCTACAGGGCCTACGGTCAGAGTAGTGGTTGAGGCTTGTGAAGGAATCCTCCAAGAACTTTCGGGTTGTGCACCGGCTTCCGTCGATTTCCAGCTGCGTACCTTCGCAATCTCATGCCCGACCCCTAAGCACAAACCCTGAACGGCAAGCTGTGCTGCACTGACCTTATCCTATATCCTCAACTCATACCCCAATGCCCTGCAACCTGTCACAAACATGAAAAGAAAAGACATTCATTCATTCTTTCATTCAGATCAAGTTCTACATACACCTAGCGGTAGAATCCTTATCAAACCCCATAGGAACCATGTGGTTCCCAAGAAGCCCCAGCACCAGCAACCTGGGAAGGCCACGTGGCACGAAGTCATGGACCTTAGAGGCGACGACCGCGTGAAGATGGCTGACTTCCGCTTCGGTTGCCAGGCCCGGGTGGGGTTGAGGGAGTTTAGGGCCCTTTGTGGGGTTGAGAGGGTTTAGGGCCCCTGTGGGGTTGAGAGGGTTTAGCGCTTAGAGTAGAAGCCCGAAAGTTGGAAACCCCATAGCTTCAATCCTTGAGAGTCATGCATAGGGAAACCCAGCACTATTTGGCCTTCATCCGGTTTCCAACTTTAAGGGATTTACTGTAGAGCTTGAAGAGTTTGGGTTTTGGGCTTGTGATGGTTTTGACGGTGTTTGCAGAGTTGTCGTCTGGCGAATGGGCTGAGGGTTTCTCTTTGATCCAGGAGTTATTCCTCATGTTGATAAATTTCACACCCGAGGGATGAATGGCAATGCTATTTGTATTTTGGGTCCAATGGGTCTATTGTATAGGTATATAGTTCATATAATCTGAAGGTTCAACGCTTCAGGGCCAGGATGTGTGTTGCATGGCTGGAGTTTAGGAGTAAGAACGGTAATTAATGTGTGTGAGACCAGGTCAATCAGTGGTACCCTTCTTGCGCGTTCATCTTGGGTTTCCTTCTTTCACATGGCAAGCAGGAGAAAAGGTTTTGTGAATAGTCAACGGGACTGAACAAAACCTGCGTGCCGTAATGACGTAATGCATCCCAACACCCAATTCCGCTTAAGCTATTCCGCTTATTATTGAGGCCCCTATAATATCAAGTGCCTCCAAGATTGAGAGGGTCTGCACTTGGCTAGGGGGCATAGCTCATGGCATTGTGAATGCCAGCCTAGGAAAGGATCCAACCCTCTAGATCCCACAGGCCCCAAAACCTGGCAGGCAATGGGTTACAAAGGCGACATCAATCTGATGTTCGACCTGCTCGATGCGTCTTGGCCAAAGGGCCAAGTCCCTGGCACAATGCCGTAAGTTGCAAAGTTCCTCGCGCATCCCCAAACCACAGAATGCAGGAGCAACATTGATCCACGGCCCGGAGCCGCACGACACACTCGCGGCTGAATGCTGCGACACAGCCGTGAAAGCAAGCCGTAGAATACGCCATGAAAGCGAAAGCATTCGATCTCGTACAGAATACCCCATACTTGTACCCCAAGCGCCACCTACCCAACCCCAAAACCAGAAGGATGTTCTCTTCCACCCTTCTGCTTGAGTACATTAGCCCGAAAACCTCAGTCTCCAATCCTTCAACCGAAAACCCCAAAAGACCTTAACACCCCAAACCCTAAATGAGGATCGTAAAACCATTCTCACTAGACAGTTTCACTCATCAGACCCAGAAGCACATGCCTCGCCTGGAGTGTCCGAGTGTGAGCGCCGAAATAAGGATCGTCAGCTTGTAGTCTGAGCAGTCAAGGCACTTCTGAACCGAGAGACCTCGTCTGGCGGAGTCCGAGTTGCGAGAGCGTAGCCCTCCAATCCTGAAAATGGAAACCTGAAGCTTTGGGGCCCCGGAATATCCGATTCCCGTTCCCGGAAGCCCAGGTGGACCGGACGAAGTTCTTAACATGGAACGAGACTGCCTGGATCTCCGGCGCGGAGGCATGTTGTCGTTGGGATGTCATGTCATATTACATGTTAATGCTTTTTCGTGTCGGTAGTGTAGCATAATGTAACATATGGTATCGGACCCCTGCTGCCTAGTAATTGTATTGCCTGCACGCAGGCATTTTTGTCTTGTTCTTTGTCTCTGTCTCTCTATCTCTCCCCATCCCTCGCCCCCTGCCTCAAAAGGGCATCCAGATAAGTGCCAACTTCGGCCCTTTCTCTTCTCTGCTGCTGTGTCAATCGTTACGTCCTGGCCCCCTCCGAGATACCGACAGTCCCGCCGACACGCATCGATGTTGGCATGAAGACGATCTCGGGGACTCCCGGGCTGCAAGCACCGGACTTGGGACTTATCGTGCTTGGAAGGTTCTGCTGTTACAGATCCGTAGACGGTTCATGTGCCGCAGGATTTGCACGTCTGACCGGGTTTTGTAGGGTTCCCATTCCTCCTTAACTTCCGGAGAAGTTATCTTTCGGCGATGGGGTGTAGAGTTCGATTTCAGCCTGCTTCGGCAGACTTTTCTACTTCGTTTATCTCAGCAACCCTATAAGCCCCTGTTGATGTGTTTCATCCCAGGAATTTCACCAAGCTCACAAAGCAGCAGCAGAGGCCAGCTGGTTGGCCTGGAGTCGTTTTCGGCGGGGAGTGTTTGCGCTCAAGGTTGTGTGCACATCTTTGTTGATTTCGTCTTACACGAGAGAAGGTAACCAGTCGCGAGGCGAGCAGATGCTGTTTCGCGCGACTTCCGTGTGCGCACGAAGCGCTTCGAGGGCCGTGCACGTGGAGAGCTTCCTGCGCCTGGTCCGAAGGGATGGTTCAGGCGTCTGTGGTTTAATGACCATCTATATTAGGCCCTATGCCCTGTGAGTTCGGACATCGTGGGCCTCAGCTCCGCAGGAGGCACCCGGCACAAAGTCATGATGTTGAAAAAACTTCCCCCCAAACTTTCGAGGATCGGCATTGTGCCGTAGCTTTTAGGAATGGGGGTGGTTCTGGTGGTCGTAGTTTACAGCCATCGCAGACATGCCTGTCGAGCTTTGCAAAGCAGCCGAAAATACAATCTGCAAAACAAGCTGGAGGCCCCACAAATCCATTTGCGCCAACCAACTCTGCGCATTCCGACTTCCCGCCATCCCAAAGCTTCGACAACTCTTTAGTGCCTCGAATCCTGAACTTGATCCTGTTTTAATTCCTACAGTCCTACCGGCTTGCATAGAAAAGCTGGGTAATTCCTCAACTCCGGGACTGCAACCTACTGGGTCCTCCCAGGACAGCAGCCCCACTGCCGGCACCAGCATCTTCGCCCCGGGCTTGAAGCAGCCTGGTCCCGATGGTAAACTGGGGGCAAAAGCCTAAAGGGAACTCCAGAAAGTTGGAATATGGAAGAATGGCAGGACCCCCTATAATTTACCACAAAGGGGTTAGGATAATCATATTCCAACTTTCTGGCTTCTACTGTAGGGTTCGAGGATCCGGGGTTTGCAGCGAGGATTGGTCATGCTTCTTAAGTGTTTCATGACCCTGGTCAAAGCCATTCCGGCCGTAGAACTGCACTTTCTTTACTTGGGTGCTGTGTGAAACATAATGGGATGTTTCGTGTCAAGACGGCCCCAGACCAGAAAGGTTTCTTTGGCAAGCAGGGTGGACGAAAATGTGGTTATCCACCGTGTTGGCCACAGAACCCACATCCCCAACTCAGAACATTTTCTGGCTGGCTTCTGCGGGATCAAGCTGTGTTTATGCAGTGTCCTGACAGAAGGGAATAGAGTCAATAGAGGGGATTTCTCACCGATCTCGAAGCATCAGCCGAGTCCGTCGGCTGTCCTGCGCTACACAGAGACCTTGAGGGACGCGTTCTCAATCTTCGAGAGTGGTATGTGATATCTGGTCACCCAGGTTGATGGCACCCTGACCTTGTAGTATATCATTTGTTCAGCTGTGCTTTCAGATTCAGTTCTTGCACTCAAGCGTCCTGAACCCGGGGCCATTGAAGATCAACGTGATGAAGGGCGGCCATGTGTCAGCGCTCATCGCGGTACTGTGGGAAGCCCCCCCCCCCCCCCCCCAACACATCGGACAGATACACCGATACACCCAATGGTCAGGGAATCGGACAGAGACCCACCCCAATGCCCCCCCCCCCAGCCCCCGGTCCCAAGCTCCATCCTCTAGACGAAGCTGCGAATTCAATGGGTTTTACGCTCATTGCCTGGCTGTTTTCTGAGAGTGCAAGGCTCGTGAAGAAAGTACTCACCTTACAAGTTCTTACTATACCAAGGGCAACACTGTTTGGCATCCTGCGCAAGTTCAGTGCCGAAACCTCGTTTGTGCGGCTGCAATCGCGGCAGCCCGTCATCATACCTAGTCAGAGCCTATTCAGAGTCATCAGCGCGGCAGGTTCAACGAGCACCTTCCTAAAGCTCGGTCTACGCCATCCCGGCATGGTTCGGGTCGGAGTCGAGAATAAGCAGGGTGAGGCAGAGGCGAAACGCAACGAGGGAGGTGACTTTCGGCAGCGGAAGACTGAGGGTTGAACTCGTTGAAAGCACTGGTGATCGTGGCTTGGTTTTGCACCTGGAGATTCCAGCTGACGGTGTTGTGGATACAATCTGGCTAGCGCGCAGTCAGACTCGGAAACACCGAAACCATCAGGGTTGCACTGTTTACCAGCGCGGAAACTATTGCAGGGTGCATCAGTGCAACCACGCGTCCTGTGGTGAGCACTGTCCAGCGATGGAAGATGGTAGTAGCAGCGCAAAACAGCTAGTGCAGAGCAACCACCAGCATGAGATGGTGGCACCTGCAAACACAAGGACCTCTCGCAGCGTTCGCAGATGTTAGCGGGATAATTAAGTCCTATGCCTGCAATCTTAAATCATGTGCGACAGATCGACAGAACTCCACGATCTGGAAAACCCCACATCCTAAGGACTAAAACCTCAGTAAACTAAGCCCAAAACCCGACCTGAAGCCGATGTCCACCTCCTGGCAGGGGGGCCCTGCCGACTTCCGCTTCCATGGCCTCCACCGCGACTTCCTGGCGAAGTCAGCTGCTGGTCTGGTAAAGAAATTGTCCTCTGTCGCCTTGCTGGGCAATGATGCCATTTGATTCACCATATCACCATCATGGTAACAATGGTCACAGTAACAATATTATCTAGGCAGGTATATGCCATCCTTCAGAGGTCTGGCCGAAGCAAGACCTCAACGTAACCCCGCAGTCTAACTTTAAGATCCCGTGGGAATAGAACATAATACACCCCAAAACCCTTAAACTATGACTCTTGGAGTGCAAACTTGATAATTCAACGCCAAACACAATGCAACGCAACCTAATTCACGGGATTTTGCTGAACCCAAATTGAGACTGCATGTCCAGAATTGAGGCATTAATTTGTAATTGACGTTGCAACAAGCTGCAGGTTGGTGATTAATTACTGTGACAAAGCTGTAAATTGGCGAGTCAACATCAGAGCCAAGACGGCGCATGCCATGTATGCCTGAACAGACCGGGCTGAATTCACCAGGATGTATCTTAACTCCCTGCTTCGTGTACTCAGCCAGGCAGGAGGCAAAAAAGGAAAATGACTCAAGAGTTGCACCCCTAAACCTTACAGAAAGTCTGAGCCCAGGAAGACCTCAGAGCCCGATCTTCCAGACTGGTATCTGATCTCCGAGGGTCGCCGCTGAGCCGGAAGTCAGGTTGTCATTTTTTTCGGTGGTAGGGGGATGTAGGGGGAGGTTCGATTTTTTTCTTTTTTGTAGGCGGGTAGGTTTGGGTGTAGTTGCTTGTTGAGCTTCAGGATTTAGGGATGTTGGGTTTACAGGGGCTCAAAGGCCTTGCCGTGCGTTTTTTGGGATGATCGGCTCAAGGTTCATGGTTAATTAAGGGTGTAGGGTTGAAGCATGAAGCCTTTGGGCTGACGGCTTTTTGTGAACTGCGAGTTGGGGATCTGGGATTTGTGGTTTCAAGTTTCGGGCTGCTGGTCTTACTGGATTTCGGTCCGATGAGCTTTGGCTTTTTACTTCCTGCAGGGTCCGTTTTCGAGAAGTTAGTACTGGGCTATTCTGCAGTCATGGAAATACTTGGAGATGTGGTGACAACACTAGTTTCGTTTCCAATCGCGGTAGATGTCGGTGGTCCTCTTGGTCCAAGGCTTGTACTTATTCCTCACGGTACCAGTTTAACGAACGCCAGAAGGTTGAAAGTGCCTTACATCAACACTCCAAAGAGCCCAAAGCTGGATGTGTTGTTGCAGCTGTTGACCCTGAGCGGGTATGATTCGTGTGATGAGGCGAACGGGAAGTTGCTGTTGAGGTGAACCCATGCAGCTTTGGAATCAGCCACATCCGGCCACAATTT